AATCTGAAGAAGAAGAAGAGGAATGGTGAAATTGACTAAGTTGAAGAAGAAAGAAAACAAATAATTAATATTTAAGAAGGAAGAAGGGAAAAACTGGAGAAAAAGATGTGGGAGACATCTTGAAGATGTGAGTGATGGATGAAGAAAAAAGATAAAGATGGAAGAGAAAGGAGAAGGTGGGAGAGATTAGACATGTGATGGATGAGGAGAAAAGGTGTGAAAAGAAAGAGAATAAATGAAGGATGAGATGTAACGGAACGAAAAAATAGGATCAAATATAAAGTAAGGGCATTTAAGGAAAAAAGAAAAATAGTCGGAAGTCGGAACCGGCGGCAGACAAGAACTCCTATTTAGGGAAATAAACTTAACAGCTCCTATTCTTGAACATTTCATATGTTTAACTCTCATTAATGGTAATTTCTTCAAGAATTTATTTGAATGTCTTCCCAATTGAATTGTTAGCTGAAATTTGGTATGAGTAAACTAGATTTAATTAACAAGATTCTCACAAAATTCCACCGAAAACTGCCCCAAATGGCGACGACCGAACAGAACATCCTATATAAGACTTATTTGACTTTTTTTGTTAGTACGTGGACTTATTTGCCCCTTTTTCCTATATCGATTTGATTTGATTTATTTGGGCCTTTTTTAGTGATATGAGGTCCGTCCTAACCAGATATGTTCTCGTCCACGGCTTAATTAATAAGTCCAAGTAGGTAGGCAAACCTCTGTAAAGAAATTAAAATAAATTAAAAACAGAGAATTCAAAAACTGAAATTAGTTAGAGCATCTCCATTCATGATCTCTAATAATCAATTTTTTTAATGATTCTTACCATTTAAATATTGTTATATAATTAATTATAAAATAATATCAAAATTCGTTTATATCTCTCAATCACCATCTTCAAATAATCTATTTTTTCTCTGTCTTGCATTAATCTCTATTACATATATTTTTCAAATAATCTTAAAATAATCCGGATTCATATTTTGATCCCAGATTATTGTAGCAAATAATCTCATTAAATAATCTATGTCACTCAATGATAATTCCCTAAAAAAACTTCCATGTCGCCAAATTAATCTCATAATAATCCTCCCAATGAGGATGCCCTTATGTGTTAAAGTTATTGTTAAAATAGGACTTATTTAGTTTTAATAAAAGAATAAAATAATACGCCTTCCTCTTTTAACGGTGATGGTTCTATTTTGGAAACATTAATGAGGGATCCTATATAAGAAAATGTTGCATGCTCCTATTTAAGGAATCTGTTCTTCAGATTTTGGCTATAACAGAAAACTCCCATAAATCTTCGTGTTCTACATTTTTGGGCCTGATCGGAGAACCAATACTTTAAGGCCGGTTCGGGTTTTAAGAACTTCGGGTTCAGGTTGGATCCGATTGGGTTGTTTTGCACTCATAAAAAATCAAATTGTTTTGAAACAAAAACTGTTTTGTAAATAAGCATTGGCAAACTCGAAAACTTACATCAAGATGTCGTGAAGGTGATATAAAACACTGATCAGTGGAAAATAAAATATCTAAAGGCAATTTAAATGCACTCAGATATTGCAATTATTAAATTTCTGAATAAAAACACATATATTGAAACCAAAGCAATATATCTCAAATCTAAAAATCACATGATAAAAAATATTGTAAAAGAACTAATAGTTAGAAAGCAAAATAAAACATTAATTTGAATGACAAATTAGTAATCAAAGAGTCCAACTAATTAGTAATTATCATATACAAATTATTCCCTAGAGAAGGTAAACAGTATTACTAGTCAGTATATAATATATACTTTTGGTACTTTTGGTTTCTTAATTTTAAACGGGTTTTTTCAATCCGGAACGAGTTTAGAATTTTAGAACCCAAATCAGGAGCTCAAATTTTTGGGTTAATGTCGGGTATTTAACACGGAACGGTCATTTTAAACTAAAACCCGGACCAATTTTATTTATCAAGTTGGGTAGGTTCAGTTTTCGGGTTTTGGGTCGGTTTTTCCCACCGGTATATACAATACAATAATGGTATAGCTAGAATATGTTTTGGACGAATATGGAAAAAGGAAATTCACTTCCATGATTGAAAAATATTACTATTACTGATAGTAATTATTTTCATGTTGAATGCCTAGTAATGCAATTATTTGAAAGTATGATTACAAGATGACAGTAAATACTTTCATGTTACTCATATTTCAAGAAAAAAAAACATAGCAACCTTATATTGGAATTCTAAAACATGTTTACTTCTATTTTGGGAACTCTTCCTATGAAAAAATAAATAGAAACTTGACTTTGCATCCCTTTTTTTGAGTTATATTTGACTTTGCATCCTATTTTCAAAATCATTAATATATGCGTCCAACTATACTATACAATTAATTGACTTTGCATTCCACTCTTTCCCAATTTTTGGACTCATGGGGTGCAAATATTAACGATTTTGAAAATAGGGTGCAAAGTCCAATATTGCCCTAAACATGGGGTGCAAATGTGCAATTAGGGGTGGACTCAACCGGGTTGAACTGGCCCGAGAATCGGCCCGACCCGGTACTGTTCGAGCCCGGACCAGACCGGTTGGGGAGTGGCGGTTTCAGGCTTTAGCACGGTTTGGGCGGGCTGGGTTCGGGCCCTACTTATATTTCATGAACCGGCCCGGGCGGTCCAGGCCGGGCCTGGTCCATTTTTTCAATCTTTTTCCTTTTCCTTGGATAGGGCTGGGTGTTTTGAGGGGCTTTGGGGTGAGGGGGGGTCGGGGATTAATTAGAAAGCCAAAAAAAATTACATTGAACCGGGCCTGGCCCGGCCCGACCCGATTTGGCCCAGACCCGGTATCAACCCGGACCGGTTCCAAGCTCAACATCCTGAAAAAAAGCCCGACTTGAACCAGCCCGGGCCCGGTCCATCCCTAGGTGCAATGTCAAATTCCCCAAAAAATAAAACCACTATGTTAACATCAAGAAAAATAAGTTTCAACATGTTGAATATAGGTGCAATTTTTTTTCCTAAAATTTAGGAGTATACAACTGCTATTAAAGCACAATTTTTCAATAGAAATGGCATGCCTTAATAAATGTGAGATAACATTATTGCTACCTGCACGGGTAGCTCAGTTGGTCGAGCGGTGGGAAAAATTGGACGTAGACCAAAGTTCGAATCCCGCAGCAGCCAAAAGGGGGTTTTCAGAACCTGAAATAAGGCTGGCCCTCTGGTGCGCACGGGTAAAGGCCTACTACCGCTTTGCCGACTGGGTCACTGTGAATCCGTGATTAACTCCCCCACCATCCTGTCGGGTCAGGGTGGGGGGGACCCTTGGGGTTGGGGATTCAACCTTTTTTGGACGGAGATAACATTATTGCTTACCTTTTAGAATGTTTTTACTTGGACTATATTCGATGTTTTTTTCTTGGACGGTATTCAGTTTCACACCAAATCAAACTTAAGCACACCAGGTCAGACTAATCCAGAAACATTTCACTCCAATAAAAAGAGAATTTTCACTGCAAATAAAAAACATCCTTATTCTTTATTTCTTCATGAAGGGAAGTCTAATTTGTCGCTGCCTTCAATTGAAACACTACAGTGCATATTATCGACTTTAAGATATGGAGTAATAGTCTCGTTTGAGGAACAAAACAACTTGTTACAATTTAGAAGAACCTATTTGATGAAATAATGAAATAGCAAACCTAATAAATCAAGTACCTGATCTCCTAAAGAAAATTAAATCATGACTGCGAATCTGCAATATTTACGCATTTACTAGAGGATATGTCCATATAAATAATTCACAAACCACAATCAACATAAATAAATAATATTTTGACTATAGAATACAATGCCACAAATGCAAGAAAATTAAGCCTCACATTACAGTTAATATCACTCGGTGAAGACAATAATCTATACATGTGTCAATTCAAGTTGGGTGATACGTATGTGCACACATATATGTATATATACATGTTTGTGTATGTATGCATACATGGGCGTAGGCCGTAGGCGCATAGCTATGGACCATGCCGGTCCCGGGCTCACCCCAAATTCTATAAAAATATTTATTTTACACGTAAGAGTTTTGTGTAAAAATATTATACTCCGTATACAGGGCCGTTTTTTAGGGGGTTCTATAGGTTATCCAGAACAGGGCCCCGGATTTATGGGGCCCCAAATTTTTAAAAATTTATTAGTATTATATAGTAATATTATATATTAATTAATATTAATCAGTAAAACACAGTTAACTAGTAAAGAAGAAAAATATAGATCCATCATTTTTTCGTTGGTCCTTTTACTTTGTTCGTTCTCTTTTAGAGCCCGTTTGGTAGTACGAAAATCGACTGATTTGGCTGATTCTGCTGAAATTTATGAAATTCTGGCTGAAGTGGCTGCATTGGCTGATTCTGCTGATTTAAGAAAGAAAAACTTTTAAAATATATTTTATTAATAAAATAAAGAAAAAATTATATGTAAAAATAACTACAATAGTCATCTACAGTAATTTCAGCCAATACAGCCAGAAAAGTAACTACAACCTTACTTTTTCTGCTTATTACACATTTCAGCGCGCGAAAGCAAAAGTTATGTGTTTGGTGATAAAGTTGGCTGATAAGCCTGATAAGTCGATAAACAGTGTTACCAAACGGCCTCTTAATGAATATTTAATTGATTTAAGTATAAGTATTTAGTTTATATAAATGTGGGGCCCCGATTTTTCATTTTGAACCGGGGCCTCCAAATTCATTGGACGGCCCTGTCCGTATATTAAAAACTCTGCCTGCCCATCCAAATATTGTACCATAGCAGCTATGTGTGTATATAACTTAGATGTACATGTAGACATGACTACCTTTGAAACAACCTAAGCATGACTATACTTGTCACTTTTAATATGCCATTTGCCTGTTTAAGGTTATGAAATTCTTTAGCCACTTTTTTAGAGGAACAAACTAGCCATATTTTAGTGATCACAAACACTAGAAGTCATTGTTTTCATTCATACATATCAATTTGAAGATATATTACATGTTCGAATTATACATCTCATTGAGCAATGCCCTGATACAATTTACTATTCTCAACGTAGAAACAGAAAAATTATAAATAATCCCTAACAAGATCAAAGATCTTTCTTCTCATTGTATGACTGGCTGGTAAGCTTGAACAACATATACTGTCTAGTATTGGAGTAGACAAAAATAAATATGAACTGAGAAAAACAAAGAAGCATAATTATAGCTTCAAATAAGAAGGGGTAGCACTTTGGAGGAGTTACCATTAAGTAGACAGCATGAAGAATAAGAGAGGAGGCAAGGAGGAGTGACCTTAAAGTAGTAAAGAAAATATTTAATTTAATTTTACGCAGTTTCACACCAGGGGCATAGTAAAGGATGATGAAGAGAGAATAGAGAGCAGCATATGGCAAAACCAACTTGTCGCGTCTCAGAAGAGGGAAGATAGAGAGCATCGCAAATGTTGTCAGCCATCGGAAAATAAAAGGCTCTTCCAAGGCTAAGATGCTTGCAGGAAGAAGAGGCAACAGAATAGATTTCTCGTGCACTGTAAATGAAAGCATAAAACACAAAAATCATTATATAGTACAGTAGCACTTGTATGTGTAAGAATTAATGCATATAACCCGGGCTGGAGCGGGGAGCAGGCAACCAGCCGCTAATCCAGTTCGGGTGCAGTGTGAAAATTGTAGAGATCTAGTTAACATCAGTCTGATTTTTTTCTTGAAAAGCTTTGGTTTTCCAACTGCTAGGTTAGCATCTGAAGATTTTAATTTTAATGAGTGCTGTGTTGAACAATTTTGATTGTTAGTATATGATGATCTCTTTATAGTTTGCTTTTGGATGAAATGTCATGGAAAAAAGTTACAACAATGTCACTTTTATTTTTGTTTTGAGTTATGAATGTGTCAGATGGAGGTTTGATTCGGTCAAACTGCTAATGACAATTCTTTATCAGAATTCATCTTATTTTCAAAAACTATTTTTTCCTCCCTATCCCTAACTTTAAAGCTGCTGATGCTTTATCCAGAAAAGGTTGTTGAACATTATTATTAGTGGTTACTTGTCAAGAGTGGGAAGGTTTAGAAGAAGATTTGTTGAAGGATGTTCGGTGCCAGAAACTGATCCAGGATCTTCTTGCTCAGCCAGATTCACACACAGGGTTCAGATTGAGAAAAGGACTAATCTACTACAAAGGCAGATTGGTAATTCCAAAAGAATCACCCAGAATCCCATCTAAAAAGAGTTTCATGACTCAACTTGTGGGGGTCATTCGAGCTATCTCAGGACCTTAAAAAGAATATCTAATGTGTTCTGGGAAGGTATGAGGCCGGATATCCAACGATATGTGAGAAGCTGTGACATATGTGATATGTCAGCGCAATAAGTCTCAGAACATAACTCCGGCAGGGCTGCTTCAACTGCTGCCTATTCCTAGTCAAATTTGGGAGGACATAAGCATGGATTTTATCAGAGGGCTTCCTCGAGCAATGGGTAAAGATTCCATATTAGTGATGGTTGATCGACTAACCAAGTTTGCACATTTTATTGCTCTTTCTCACGCCTATACGGCCAAAGGAGTTGCAGAAGTTTTCATCCAAGAGGTGGTCCGCCTTCATGGGTTTCCTAAAACTATTGTCACGGATAGGGACAGTATTTCGTAAGTACATTCTGGTCCGAGTTATTCAAAATGGCAGGGAAAAAGTTGAAGTACAGTACTGCCTATCACCCACAAACCGATGGGCAGACTGAAGTGGTGAACCAGTGTCTTGAAAGTTATTTGAGATGTATAACTGGGAATAAACCCAAGCAGTGGCCGTTATCCTGGGCGGAATACTGGTACAATACCAATTACCATGCATCCCTAAAGAGCACTCCTTTCAAGGCCATATATGGACAAGATCCACCTATATTAGTCAAAGAAGATACCAGCTTAACTGCTGTGCGAAATGGGATTCTACAAGAATTGAAACATAATTTGGAAGTAGCTCAAAACCAGATGAAGCAACAAGCAACAGGCCAACAAGCATAGAAGGGACCTTCAATTTGAAGTGGGAGAAGCTGAGTCCTCGGTTTTATGGTCCATTTGAAGTGGTTGAAGTGATTAATCCGGTGGCCTATAAATTGAAGTTACCGGAAGATTTTTCAGTTCATCCGGTGCTTCATATTTCACTAGTGAAAAAGACAGCTAATTCAAATATAACACTGCCTTCTCGCATCTCAGAAGAACGGGAGTTACAATCCCAACCAGAAGGAGTAATCGATACCAGAATTTCAGCAACAAGAACTCAAGAGGTGCTGATTCACTGGAAAAACCTACCACAGTTTGAAGATTCATGGGAAGATAGGGAGTTGTTTAAGCAACAATTTCCTGAGCTACACCTTGAGGACAAGGTGTTTTTTAAAGGGGGGGGGGGGGGGGGGGGTGATGAAGCGAATAATAGAAAATTTTCCTGAGCTACACCTTGAGGACAAGGTGTTTATTAAAAGGGGGGAGGGGGGTGGAGAGGAAACGAATAATAGAAAAATGAAGCGAAAAGAAAAAGGGAACTGGGAATTGTTAGGAACTGGGAGAGCGAGATCCTCTCTAAAGATATCATTTTTATTTTCTGCTATTTTGTTCCGTTATCGTTCATTGTTCCTAGACTTTGATATTGAGTTTTATCAATAAATCTAACCATATTGAGTTGGAGTGTGTTGTTACTGTTTGCTGGTGTGAGGCCTTATTAATTTATTCCAAATGAATTACATGTCCATTTCAAATAATAAATTAATATTATGTATTTACTGATCATCTTATTTTAAAATTAAAAACAATTGAAGTCATTACAATTGAAAATAAAAACAAGAAATATTTAGATCGATAAAGTTACTTGTACTTTTATACACTTGTACATGATAAACTTTAATAAATAGCTCAATGTTTCAAAAATGCATGAATACTTAATTTCTACTACGTATTATATAGTCATTTTATCATATCCTGAACAAGAGATAATAACAATGCCCAAGTAAATTTCAAACTTATTAACTACATATACAATTGTGTATGATGACAAATTATTAATCCCTGCATCCGAATGTTTCTTCCGTATTCTGCCCATTTTCCTTTTAGGCCCATCTAATAATATTTACTCCCTTTCCTATTAAGAAAAAACTGTGGCTGAAAAAATTTCTGCCTTTTCCAATATAGATCCTAGGCAACCACAATTTCACTACTTTAATAAGTGTATCATCTAAGTGTGCTTTTCCAATATAGAAAAGTCTGTTTGCATGTTTTAACTAAAAGTAAACAGAAAAGTTTACACAAGGCCTGTAGACAAACTGCTAATTTAACTCCAACCATATAAGAATGACATGCATATATATATATATATATATATATATATATATATATATATAGAGAGAGAGAGAGAGAGAGAACTTATCCTGTCCGAACGTTCGGACAGGAGGCACCGTCCGAACACCGCCGTTCTGGGCGGTTCCCGGTGGAATTGTTTTATGAAATTTTTATGGTATGTTTTTCATCAAGTCTAGTTTATCCACAAAAAGTTTCAGCTCAAAATTCGATCGGGAAGGCCTTCAAATGATTTTTTGAAGTTGACTGTGCCAAATTATACATAGAAAAACGCAGTCAACTTCAAAAAATCATTTGAAGGCCTTCCTCATAGAATTTTGAGCTGAATTTTTTTGTGGATAAACAAGACTTGATGAAGAACATACCATAAAAATTTCATCAAAAAATTCCACCGGGAACCGCCCAGAACGGCGGTGTTTGGACGGAGGCCCTGGTCCGAACATTCGGACCTGATCATTTGTGTGTGTGTGTGGGGGGGGGGTAGAAAAGAAAGTAAAAGACTTATTAATCGACTCAACCAGTTTGACTAACGGGTTCAATACGACTAATGGTTGAATCTATTGAACCAGTACCAAGACGAGTCTTTACAAACTTGGTAAGCACAAACGAGAAATAACAAACTAAAGCAGAAAGCAGACTGTCATACTTACCTTGAAATGAGAACATGTAAAATGATAAAGCACTACTGAGCAGCCCATACAAGAAATTTGGTTTGCTTGGTGCCAAAATAAGCATCATCATTGAAGGGATACAAGAAGAAACGGTTGCAGCAAGGCTAAGAAGCCTCAAAGATTGGGAACTGAACAATCTCTTCCACTTCACAAGAACAGAAGATGTGCACCAAAAATTAGCCACATAATCTTCATATATACCTCTCTCAAACGGGGCTAGGCGTGCGAAAACCTGTAACAGTAAAGAAAGAACAGAGCAAAGGTCAAACATAAAATCTTTGGACTTAAGACAGATAAACTGAACAAGTAATAAAAAACAAGGCAAGGGTATGACCATATGTATATACATACCTCCAATGATGCTTCTTTTGAATAGAGATATGGCCACCATATAACAGCCATGGTCCCTAATACCACTAACCCAAGCTTTGAGATTTCAAGAAGTGGACTTCTGTGCATTAGACATTTACCCAAGAGGTAGCTGAAAAATGCAGGTGCAAAATACGCACTCATCTGCAGCAATCCAGCCAACCATTAGCCGTAGTTAATGAGCCATGTGTTAACATAAGAAAAATCACATTGCTACAACAAAAGTTCAAACGTTTTGGTATTCCAAAATATGAAGGATTTGATTCAATGACCCTATGACTCTTGTTAAAGTAAAGTTCTAACACCTGTTTATGGTTGAGAGCGAGAGTGAACAACATCGAACCAACAAGATCCCTATCACATAATATTGCACAAACAGCAGCCACAGCAAGGCCCAGACTAATGCAATTGTACTGCGAAACAAGAAACACTAGGAAATTAACCAAAAAATTAAATTTAAAAATTACAAATTTTGGTTGATGAGTTTTAGGCCCTGAAAAATCATTATGAAATTCATTCATATTGTTTGATTGTAAAAGCTAGCACACATCTATCAGAATAAAAAGTGGATCAATACCATTAGTTAGCCTCCCTGATCACTTCCTTCTCTCCCTATATCCCCTTTCTCTTTCTGTTTACTCTATTCATTTTTCTGCTCGTTTTCCTTCTTCATTATTTTTCTTACATAAAAGCACTTGTTATTGAAAATGGGTGGAACTGCTTTAGCAAGTTGCTCAGATTCTCTCATCTCCCAAATATACAGTATTTCACATAAAGTTTAATACTTCTATTTTTTGTAAAGCAATACTTTTACGATTATTCCAATTTTAATACCAAAAATATGAACAGTTATACTAGTATTACTAATACTCATACCCATCGTTAGTATTTATATCTGAATCTGATTACAATTTTGAACCAAAGATCAAAAAAAATGGGGCCAGCAAACAATCTCTAACACAAATGATAAAACAAACCTGAAAGTGACCATGATCAATCAAAATTAGACATGGATTCAACAAAATCATTGCAATGTGCCATGCTAGATGGGTTTTCTGTTGACCTGGTTTTCCTGAATAATACACCTTCATAAAGTAAAGAACTGCAGGAAAGAATATTAGAACATCAGATGATAAAACAGTCCATCTCATCAAAAGTTTCCTGCGTTGGAAAAACACATTATGTTGTCAAAAACAGATCAACTGAAACAAAATAAATAAAAAATCGAAACTGTGTACTATGCGACAAATTTTAACTAACAGGAATATCTTCAAAAACAAGATTGGCGCAAATTAAATACCCTATATAAGATTCGTAGCCCCTAGAAGTGTAGAGAGCAACTGACTGTGGATCGAAGAATTTGAGGAAAAGACCATGAATGTAGCTCTGATAGGCAGTGAGAGGAGGGTAATCGAGACCCCAGTACTTGAGATCATTCAATGTGCCGTTGCGATACCATTCTTTTACTGGTAGATTGATCGTGATCTCCATCCAATGCCGTTGGGCTTCGTAGTCTCCATACATCGGTGGCGTTCCGGCACCCGAGTATGAGTGGAGCGAAACAGAAAGTCTTACTAAGAGAGCAAAAAGACTGATGCAGAGAAATGAAGCACCGGTGCCCCTGAACACGACCCATCCCCAAATTCTGCTGTCCGAATCCAAGCCTTCGTTGGCTGGTGACAGATTCCTTTCTTTTGACCTTTTACCCATCGGCATATGTTATGGAGGAAAACTCCGATAGAGCGTGACCCGTACTGAATTCACCAAATCCCAGATCCCCAGTCTAGGGTGCTGGTCAAACATGAGAAAGACCAAAATTAAAAGAAGGCTGGAAGAAATTGATTTCCGCGCACCAATTACTTAAACGACGTCGTATTACTACGTTTTCTTTTTTAAATTGACCGAAAATTGAAAATTTTGGATGTCCATGTAAACACTCTCGAACTACATGTAGTCCGCCCCTCTATGGATGTGGCCTTTAGTTCTATTGAAAACCAATGGCGGTGAAATCGTGAAAATCGACCTTAGTGTCAACGATGTAGCAATTGACAATGTTGGTGACGCATAAGTATGCGAATAAGATTTGTCCAAGATCAAGATTGAGAAAATGGAAGTGAGTGAATTTAAATATTGGAATGACTCGGTCCATAGCAGAATGGGCCTGCCAATGCAGAGCTGGGTTTATGCGCAACTCTCGACCTCGACACAAGGCCTTGACCTACCTAGTAGATGATTTGGACTGCTATCTTGGACTTCTTTGTTAGAGATCAACGGCCCAACGGGTTGAGATGGGCCACACCAGCCCAACACTAATGGGTTAGGGCTAGGCTAGGCTCAATATATAAATATTAATTAAAGAGTTGGGCCGAGCTGGGCTTTTGTAATAAAATTGTAGTCCTAGCCCGTATATATAGTTTGGCTTAAGGGGTCGGGCTGACCCACATGTCACCCATAGGGCTGAGCCTAGATGGGCTTACAAGAAAAACACAAAAACTCTTATGCATTATAAAATGCAATTTAACCATTAAACGAGTGAAAAGAATCTATTATTTCAAAAAATGTAATAATCAAAGGATTAACTCCAAATATATAACCAAAATAAAAAATGGTGGACAAAAATGTGACTCAAGTAACTTTAGTGATTATAATTGCATTCAAATGTTACATCGTGGTGACTATATATCTTACTCCTAATAACTTATAGTTGCATTTTTGTCCATATGATATTATGAGTAATATTTTTGAGAAAACTCATCATAAAATGAAAGTTCATTCTCTTATACTAATTTATCTCTATATCCAAGTTATTGGTGATTTATAAAGTAGTGTACTAAAGTAATAATGCATAAAAGTGCTTCTGGGTTGGGCTCAATTAGGCTTAATAGGCTGCGTCGGGATGGATCTTGATAAGTCTAGCCAATGGGTTGGGCCGGGTTTCAAACACTCTACCTCATGCCCACCCCTTCAAATAGTGGGCTAGGCCGGCCCATGGCCCTTATGGGTCAAGCTAGGCTTTTTGGCAAATGGGGCACGTAGGCCCCCGAGGGGTCATGCGCCTGTGGGCTAAATGATCCCGACTCCTTGTCTAGGTGATTTTAGTTTTCTCGCACTTTAAAAGATTGTAATATAGTGGTGTAAGTACGAGTATCTTCTCCACAGGGACGGTAAAAAGGGAATTAAAGATTAACTAAATTCAGCGATTAAAAATAAATAAAATAAAATAAATGCGTCGTGCGAGATTGATTGGTTGAATTTAAAGTAAACGAATGCGACTAAACGAATAAAATAAAAGTTTGAGTTCTCTCCAATTAACAACGAAGGGAACAGGGATTGATTACGGGGTAATCACATTTCTGGCAATTCAGGCCTAATTACATGAATTTAATTTAATTGAGCCTAGCTAATCAATACTAAGTTCTTACCACTCTCGCGGCGTAGAGTACAATAATTTAGGAGACCAGACAGATCTCTCATGCAACAGGATCCTAAATTATTGCCAAGACGAGCAAGCTTACAGCCCCTTAATCGCTACTAATCTCTTAGCGAACGATTAAGTGAGTGTGAATGTGAAAGTGTGCCAAGACGAGCAAGCTTACAGCCCCTTATTCTACCAGCACTTGTAATTCTAGCGCGCGTTCTAGGTTACAAGAGATATCAGTTAAATTGTTCAAACACAAATTAAACGACATTCATGCAATTAAACCATCAAGAAACTAGCCATACATCGTGATCAACTCCTTCATCAATCCCAAATCCCTAATTAAAACTACTCCCGACTCATAATTGAAGAATCAATAGAATTGGGAAGAGTAGAAGTAATTGTCATTAATTAAAAAGTAGGAATTTACAAAGAATGTTAAGGAATTGAAAAACCTGGCTGAAAAAGCTCTCTAATCTTGTCCTTAATCTCTCTCTAAAGTTCTCTCTCCCCTCATTAGAGTTGGGGAGGTGGTAATTATAGGAAACAACTAATTTGGGTTGAATTAGGAAAGAAACGGGGCCAGGCACGACGCAGGGCACGATCGTGCCTCCGGAGCAATCGCGCGTTTCGGATGGAGGCACGATCGTGCCTCCCCCAGACACGATCGTGTTTGGCAGGCAGTGGCTTCTCGTGATTTTCTTCTTCAGGCATGATCGTGCCTAGGTCCAGACACGGTCGTGCCTGACCTATCTTTGACTGTTTCTTGCCGTTTCTTGCTCCAAATGTTCCCGGACACAAGTAAGGTCGATCCAAATGCTCTTTCTTCATCAGAATTTCGTCGTGAATCCCCCGGTGACCTCCAAATCTTTCAAATCTTTCTCGAACGCTTCCAAACTCTTCTCGATTGCCTCTTTAAGTGTCGATGTCGATCTCTAACTTCTTCAATTCAACTCCAAATGCAACAAAACTCGACCCAACGCCTGATAATTACAACTTGAGCTAAAATTGAGACTTGCAACACCTTAAAGCTAGGAAAACCATCAAAATCCGACTCCAACACGCATCAAAATGCGTTTTGTAATACGAACTTATCAGATTCCCCCACACTTAAGCTTTTGCTTGTCCTCAAGCAAATCGAACAACGGGACTTACGATAATCACCACACGGAATCAAAACAGTTAGCATGCACACGTAGTTAAAGTGATTTTCACAGAACAGACAATCTAAACCAGGAAAATTCTTCCCTAAACTACATCTTTGTACTCAAGCTAAACTATTTGACAAAATTATTCACAACATCCTTAAAGTAATGACAGCATACACAAATAAACTAGCTATTAATCAGAAGGACTTGTGAAGGTGATGGTGAATGGTGAATGGTATTAAATGGTCCCTTTCTTTTGAGAGATGGAAATATTCTAACAAAGACTTAATGCATTCAGGAACTTCAGGGCTATTCTTAGGATCAAGGAACTCAGTAGGCCACAATTTAGGAACAATCATCTAAACCTATGCAAAAAGTAGACATGGTGTACAATTAAGCTAAACCGCCGCGGCACATTGGTGCTTTGACGTATACTTGAAGTACGCGGAGAACTAAAGCTAATTTGCAATAGCCTCCAAGTTCATTAATTATGTTTAGTTTTCCTTGTCATGTTGGCACAAGAACGCCATTTCTTTCTAAAGATCCCCAAGTCTCATTTTATTGTGCGAACACTTACGCTTTTTGATCGGTGCTCCCATTCTCTTTTTTGCAAGGTAAGAGGTCTAGCTATACTAGTTTTTCACCTTTCGGATTCTCACTAGACATTACCACATTCTAATCTCGGCCTCACCAAGGAAAAATAGCAATTAAATTTCATTTATTTTAGAAGTGAATCCATGCCTACAATGCAATCCTCGAAATTAGCAAATTCATCCCCTAGTTCCCTAAACATCAAGACTACGTCAGAAATATTCACGGGTAAGAAAACAAAGGCCATTTGGCTATGGAGCTCAATTAATTGGGTAAACAAAGAACAGTCAGGCTCAAAATGGCTTCTCCTAAAGGAACTTATTCAGGTCAATGGAGAAAATTGTTAATTATTACGTGGGTGACTAATGCCTTCATCCTTTCAACAACTAGATTATAGTGCAAGCAATTTAAGCCTAAACACTTCAAGGATATTTTAAAAGCATAGTCAAACGCTAACTAGCTCACAAAGACACAGTTTAAAGAAAAAATTTCAAAAATTTTGACATGACTTTCCTATGAATATACAACTAACACCTGCACATGCTAACTCTAAAAATCACATGTAACAACTATTGCCCGGATGCCCAATTCACTCCTCCACACTTGAACTTTGGCATCGCCCTCGATGACCAAATATGCACTATGCACAAGGGGGTAAATAGAAAGGGTCACACGTGCTCAAAATCATCTCAAGTCATTTTATTAAAACAGGCGAGTAAGAGTCTTAGGAACTTCCCAAAGGCGTTGGTCGGTGCATAACTAAACTGAGTAAAGTGATCCTCGGCACATCATCTCTACAACAAGATCCTGAGCTGCAAAAACAAAACACACAAAACACACAAAACAAACAAAACAACAACAAATGCAGAAGTAAGCTCGGGTTGCCTCCCGAGAAGCGCTATTTTTTACGTCATTTGCCCGACGCAACCACCTCATCAAAAACTCAGTCAAAGACACTCCCGCTCAAAAAATTAGTCTTCCACAAATCAAACCTCCTATCAACAAATGCCCTGAGATGACGTAAAACCTTAAATTCATGAAAACAATTGCGCATCTCAGGGCCACTCGTAGAGCACAAGAATGAGTCTGCGCCTTTATCAGGCCCTTTATCAAAGAATGAGTCAAAATCAGTCTCTCTAAGAGGTAGGGATTTCCCTTCCTCCTTTCCAGGTGAATCAATGGCATCTAACAAAAAACACTCATTAACATCTTGACCATACTGTTTTGCCAGTTTGGCCATGCAAAAAGTGACTCTCTCCTCCCCAACTCTTAAAATCAATTCCCCTTCCCCAACATCTATGAGGGCCCGAGCAGTGGCAAGAAAAGGCCTTCCAAGAATTAAGGGCACATCAAGATCTTGGGGCATATCTAGGACAACAAAATCGACAGGAATCAAAAATTTGTCCACTTTAACCAACACGTCTTCAGCAATCCCCTGGGGGTATTTGACCGATCGGTCAGCCAGCTGTATGCACATGCGTGTTGATTTAAGTGGACCGAGTGCAAGCTTCTCATACAAAGCAGAAGGCATTAGACTGATGCTTGCACCCAAATCAGCTAAAGCATTATAAAAAATCTCATTTCCTATAGAGCAAGGGATAGTGAACTTACCTGGGTCCTTAAGCTTTTTAGGCAT